GTTTTTATAAGTTTGAATAACCTTTACTCAAAACTTATCAAAACAATATTGCGGATTTTTATATGTTTTATCGTCCTTATATATAGGTCTTAAATCCTTGCGTTTCGTGAACCAGCAAATGCAAAATATTTTAAGAAAATCAACGTGTTCTTTCGAACGGTTAGGCATTTTAAATAAATTTTTCAAATAAAAACTTCTGATGTACATTTATAATATCAGCATAATATATCGGCCCCATTAATTAAATTTCAACTTAATGACCCAAAGCATGTTTTCAGGTCAAAACTCAACGTCTGTCAAGAGTTATTATTTTAATTATTATCAATTAGCGACTGCTAGGCATTGCAAATTGTTAATATTTAAAACAGTAGTTGTAATAACTAAATTCTAATGATAGTAATAACTGAAATAAAAATAGTAGTTATTAAAATTAATAGTTCAGTTTGCAATTTCACTTTTGAAACTCGAAATAAATGCTCGGACATGTTTTTTTAATGCAATTTTGTGGTGTTAGAGAAGATCTAAAATACTATATAAATTATGCAATACTTAAATTTGTTTAAGGAAATCATACCTATTGTAGAAAAGTTAGAAGGGCATATCTTTTTAATAATTTTATCAACGATAACTTGATTATTAGTTATGATCGGTTCAGATATTTTACTAATATCAGATGATCTTCTGAGTTTTTGTGCGTTATTTTGAGATTGATTCAAAAAAAAAAAAAAAGTCAACCCAATCATTTAATTATGATGTTTCCCCCAATGCATATAAATTTGTTTTCCATGAGCTACTTGTGTTTTTTGGACAACTATCTTTTTCGGCATTATATTCTCTCCAAAATAAGTTTTGAATATAACTTTGAACTGCGTGAGTTACTTTAATAAGTTTATGTGATCCTTTTCCAAAGGAAATAAAGCAACATGCACAAATTTGTCGACATTTTTTGCCGGTCATTTTGACAAAAAATATAAGTTTTATATCATCGCTTTTAACGGTGATAATAGTCATTTTGTACCAAATTGAATAAATGATGTAATCATAAAATGACCCAACTTTTTAAGACAAAAACATCAATTAAAATCTCTTTGTTTAAAGGTTAGTTTAGATTTTAAAAACTACTTTAAAATACTCTATTTAATCCAATAATAGTAAATTAACAAAAATATTTAAAGTAAACTTACCCTCGCGGTCTCCGGGAGAGCACAGTGTATGAGTTGCGTTATCTTGCCTTATTTAAATATCGTGTTTTCTGTTAGGGTGTTATGACTAATATTGTTTATTCATTAAATTTTCTATTATATTACGATTCTATTTCTACTAACAATAAAATGCAAAAAATACTTTTATAAGAGAAAATTGTAATTTTTTTTTTTCTATTTCTTATTTTTGATCTTGGTCCACTTCTGGTACCTGCTGTGTTGTAACAGATTTTAAAAAGAACTTTACTGATGTTAATGTCTTTATGACGTTAACTACAAGCAATGACATTGCTATTAGTTAGCCGAATTTAAATTATTATTCATAGATAAATTTGTATTTTTTAAAATTATATTTTTTAATATAAATTATCAAGATATATTATTATTAATGGTTTAATATTTAATAACCTCTATTACAGGTTATTAATAATTAAACTTAATTCCTAGCTTTCCGCTAGTAAAAAGTTAGTATTATGTGAATTTAAGAGTGTTTCAAATGAATTGACGATTTTCAAAGTTTTACTAGCTAAATTTAGTCAGTAAAGTAATTTTTTTTTTTTTTTTAAGTTGATTAAGGTGCCCCAAGAAGTCCTTACGGTCTTATCACAGAGCACCGCGGAATAGCATTTAATAGGAAGTTCACGCCTCCTTCCCAACCAATGTCGCAAAACTTGCACAGAGGTGGGGTTTGAACCACGGATCTTACGTTTCTGAGGCAAGTGCGCTACCACTGCGCCACGGCTGCCAAATGTTAAACTGTTTTAAGATTTGCAGTGAATATTACATCATTAATAGTAATAAAGGAAGTGATGAACTACTTTTATCACTACCAATTATATGGTTAAGGTTATTTATAATGTCTGTCCTAAAAATTCCTGTTTCAAAAGACGTTTTTAAAAAGTTGTTTAAAAAAGTATTGTCTATTGCAGTTGCTGAACTTTTAGCTACCCGAGTTGGCTTATTAAGAAGCGGCCATATAATATATTTAAATAGCATATCATAAAACGATTTTCCTTTCGAACTTTTTTTATACATTAAGGAATTCATATTTGTATCGCCGATAATGCACAATTTTTTGCTATTATGAATGACTATTACAAATAAAATCTTTGAAAATTTTTAACTACGAGTTAGAGCCGGTATACGCATACAATGACAAGGTTTTTAAACTTTCCACTTATTATTTTTATTGTTAAATATTCATAATCCTTTTTGGTTACGAATAATTGTATTTTATTCTTAAATAAATAATTCTCTAAAAGGTAAAGAAAATGTCCTCCACTTTTTTGAGCACTTCCTCGTGGTTGAATAATTATACGGTAATTTGGTGGTTGAATTTTAAATTGGATTAAATAATAGTTTCTGAGTCATGCCATGTCTCTGCGAGAGCTATTACATTTATTACATAAAAGGGTAATTTAGAATATTTAAAAATTCTCTAGGTTTTTCCAAATTAAGTGGTGCGCTATGTATGTTGATGTGCAATATAGAAATTCTAAGAATAACTAGATGTCTAACTGCCGTAAATTGGTATAAGAAAAAGTAAAGCAAAAATCGGCCTTTATGAGGAGCGACATCTTTACGCTATTTATCAAAACAAAACAAATACGAAGCTTTAAAAAAATGTTTAAAAATGTAATCAATAAAAAATCGATACGCAGATATCTGAAACATTTGATGTTATTATGATTTTGATTTAAAATTTAATAATTATGTAAATATGCATTGTTTTTTTAAACATTACAAAATCATACTTATTTAATTTTTTTTTTATTTTAAAATTTAAATTTGTATAATTTTAAAACTTAACATTCAACTAAAATCTTAGTTGGGTTTTAATCTCTCATCTATTAACATTTTATGCACCTGTAAGTCATTAATTACCCTCTGCAGTAATGCTAGAAGGTACTATAACATAACTGCAAGGTAAACAGAGTTGAAACTTGAAATGAAACAAATTATAAAATTGTCTTGACTATTAATTAAGCTCTGTGTGTGTTACAACTTAGATGTTCCTTCTAGAAATGTTAGAATTTTATTTATCGCTAAACACTTGTTGTTATCATAAAAATCATTATTACTTTTTTTTATAATTGATTTACCGTCAGTTAAATAAATTTAATTCAATGTTATGTTATATTTAGTAAGGTTTTCAATACAAAAAAGCACCATATACTCAGGTATATAAAGAATAAAAAGCACCAGGTATTCAGGTATATAAAGAATATAAAAATTTGTTTTTACTGTTATGCCTATTTAATAATATATATATATATATATATATATATATATATATATACATATATATATATATACACATATATATATATATATATATATATATATATATATATATATATATATATATATATATATATATATATATATATATATATATATATATATATATATATATATATATATTGTTGTTTTCTTGTACCAAATTAAGATACAAAAGTCTCTTGTTCGTTTGAGAGTGATCAATATAATCTGAAAAAATTATCGGAGCGGTTAAAATACTGAGCCTATACGGAAAGATTAGCCCAGTTAACCAGCGCCACTGTATCCAGTTAACCAGCGCAATTGTGTGCAATAGCTTGAATTGACTGGTATTAAGCTGTGATTACTGGGATTTGGTTCGTGCTGGATAAATCAGTCTTAACTACCTTTCTAACAACTTCTGAAATTAGTTTATTTTTATTAAATTCTATGCAGGTGTTAATTTAGCCATGTCATAGACTGTTAAACGCTGCGTAAAACAAGTTTTTGAGGCTTTAAGTAGAGTGTGCACTCATAAAAAGAAAGAAGAATTTTTCCGTAATCAAGAGGGGAGGAGAAAATTAATACCTAGAAATAATAGTAAATAAAACCTTGCTACTTTCACAAAAAAAAACAAGAATAATTAGAGAAACCAGGTCAAAATTTTATTGAAATATAAAATTTAAATTACGTAAGCTAAAAAATTAATCAAATTTTAAAACCATGTTTTGATTCTCTACGAAATTCTGCAACTTTAAGTAACTCCCCAATTTTTTCTTGAAAAAAATCCAAAATTGGCACACCATAATGTAGAAGCGTCTTAACAAAACTATCATGAATAATTTATAACTTTTAAATGATAGGAACTAAATGATAGGAATTTTTAAATAATAGGAACTAATTCTTTTTATTATGAATATAAGCAATGAACATTTGCTTTTTATTTAATATGCAAGTAGTAATAAATTTGGAAACTGGAGAAAGTTTTTTAATTGAAAAAAAAACTACTTAAAAGAACCTATACTAACATGGGACAAGTTTGGGCAAATATTTATTTTTTTTCTGTTTTTATATACCCTTATAAATAAGAAAACCTTAAAATTACAATGGAATCTAGTGGAACAAAATAACAATAATCAATTTAGGGTGCTTTTTCCGATATCTCATGTACAACAATCTAAAATTAAAATGATGTGTCAAAAATAATTTTTAAAACTACTAAATATCTTAAATCTGTGCGTTTAAACTAAAACTAAACATCTTTTATTCATATCAACTTTTTAAAAAGTGACACTATGTTAAGCTATTATGGCGCAAGTTTTGCAGTAAAAAAATAAAAACATTAGTTACATTATAAATCATTTTAAAAGTTTCTTGCAGTTAGTTTGTTTATGGGTTTTTTTCAAAATTTTTTTCATTTTGACTCACTGTGCAACGGGAGTTAATTATTACGGTTGTTAATTAATTTCACGAAACCGTTGCAACTAAGAAATTATTTCAAAATAGAAAAGTTTTAAAATGTTTTAACAAAAAACTTACTTGGACATGCGTTTATAACAATTAAATTTCGTAAATATCCTGGTTGTGCATCAATGGCACCAGCAAAAACAGCAACATTTTGAAAGGTTTTTGCAGCAGTGTTTTGAACCGCATCAACGGTAATTCCAGCAATTTGAACAACATGATCGTAGTTTCCGTTTAAGAAACTTTGTTTTACAAAAAATTTTATCCATTCATTCAAGTTGTATGATTTTACATCTTTGCAGTAGCCATTAAAACCACTAAGTGACGCGCAAGCATTTAAAACAGAATTATAAATGTTAATCACCAGAACTCGTTCTTGTCCACTTAATAAAGTTATTACTTCTGACCATGTGTTTGTTAAATATGAAGTAAAATATGCTTCAAATGTTATTTCATACTCTTTAGGTAATATTTTTAATGTGGTTAGACGATTGCCTTCACGTAAAACCAGTTGACTGTTAACCGTAAAAAAAGACACTAAAAACAAATTAATAAAGTTAATAAATAGATAAAGATAACTTTACAAATGTAAAAATAATCTATAAGGGGAAATAAGTTTTATTTACATTCTTTTGAATTTCTTAATCAAAAGATGTGTCAAATTGCTTATTCGTGCTTATTAATATATACACTCTTAAAAAATGCCAATATAACGATAACTTTAAAATAAGTAAAGGCTACCCGTTACATTAACGTTATATTGTCCTGTTTGGGCCATAACTTGTGTAGGCTTGGTCCATCTTAAAAAAGATGCTTGCTCGTGAGTGATTGACACGGAATGCACGGCAGCCATTAAACCCGAGTTAATGGCGAGTAAGAGTTGCAACACTTTCGTTATAAAATTTAAGAAATAAAGTTGCAATGTTGCGATATCTAAATTATGTAGTGACTTATATCAGTAAAAGTTGCAATATTTTATTTATGTAAGCTTCTAACTATATAATGTTAAATGTTATATCAAGTTTTGAAGTTTTGCTTTTACTTCCATTGCGACAACATCTGCTAAATTTTATTAATATCATTTTTATGCCGCTTTATTATGTTTAGAGTATAAAGTTTCGTCTTTTATTTTTGAATAGTGGTAAAGTTTATTAAAACAGTATGTCTTAGCCGCCAAGGTGCCTCTTTTTATGTATGGGGCAGGAATTCAAATTCTGTTCCATTTTCTAAATTACTAAACAAAACATTTCTTATTATTAAGACCTCCTAATAATATATAAATAACATTTATAAAGTTATTATATCCTATGGATGAATGCATGGATGAGAATTGTTAAAACAGCTTAAAATTTCTATAAACAACGAAACAGCGGGAGAAACGTTTTGTCAAGTTAGTTTTGTCAAGTTAGAGATGCTTAGGTTATTGATGCGCTTAGGCAATTAGTGAAGTTTCCGCATTTATCACACATTAAAAAGACAACTAAAGAATAAAATTTTTACATTTTAACTTTAATTTTCTGCAAATACAATTAACAGGGTGAGGGAACTAATAAGTTGTTCTGGAAAAAACTTAATAAAGATTTAATAAAGAAAAAAAATATTAAGCCCGACCGGTTTTTTTTTTTTTATAGAAATGTACAATTTACGATAAGAATTTATAAAATATTTAACATTATTCATTTACTCAAAACAATGATTTTGAAGATTTTTTTTTTCTTGTAGAAATCACTATAAGTTATTGAAATAAAAAGATTGCATAAAGATTAACTATAGAAAAAGTCGGTTTGGAATAAACTGATCATGTCCTGTATTGTGCAGGTCTTGGTAAATCCATTATTCCGCATATTTTTAAGCTGATTTTTACATGCTTTTTAAACTTTTTATACCCATTTTAATTAAGCAACAAATTTTAGGCGGGTATTTTAAATATTATTTAGACGGGTAATACTAACCGGTGATAAGTGCCGGTTCGCAAAATGGATCCCAAAGTGTTTAAAATTTTTTTAAGTTAATTGTATTATAATTTTTTTTTTCATAACTGTGAAAAGTAAACATTATGTACAGTTTATATATCAGGGCTGGATCCAGCATTTATGGTTGTTTAAGATAAACTTCCAGACATGGAGCTAACTCCAAACATTTACACGTTTATACTTATGTCTAATAAGGATAACTTGATAATTCGTATATAAAATATGTGTATAAAAAAATGTGATGATTAGAGCCTGGTGATAAAAAAACTCTAAAGTTTTGGTTGCAACTCCCTGTAACAAGTTCATTAAGAATTTTAAATTTTATACAGTTATCACTTAAAATTTCAAAGTTATGACCTTAGAAAATTTATAACATCTCAATTTAAGGAGGAAGAGGGGGGTGCATACTTTATGTAGTAATAATTTTGCAACGCTAAAAGATTAGTCTATGAAATTTAAAATTTGTTAATGAATATAAGTTGTTGGAAAAATAAAAATAAAATCTTTTACCTACTTGCCGCTCTCACGTTGGGGGCAGATGCGACCAAAGTTTTAGGGCTTTTTTGTTTCCTGGTTTAATCTACTTAAGGAAAATTTATCAAAAACTGGGAAAAACAATAAAAATTATATTATTAAATTACAAAATATAACACAAATTATCTTCTGGCAAAAGAAAAAATCAATAGCATTAAATAAAAAAAATTATTTGTTATTTAAAAATCTTGGAAAAAAAACTATTTTGCCCCACACTAGAGACACAATTGGGTATACAATGTAACAATAACATACATTTTAGACTTTATTAAGTTTTTAGAGATGGTTCTAAAGTAAAACTTAGCTTTTCATCTTTTTCTTTTTAATCAGCATTCAAGTAATGTGCCCAGCAGTGGCAATCACTACAAGAAACCCAACTTACAATAGATGAATAATTTTTTTGATAGAAGTGACAGGAAGTGTCAACCTATAAACGTTAGAGTTTTTCTCTATTTGGATGCAGTTTTTTGTCCATCTACTTCAGCATATATATATATATATATATATATATATATATATATATATATATATATATATATATATATATATATATATATATATATATATATATATATATATATATATATATATATATATGTATATATATATATATATATATATATAGTGACAGGAAGTGTCAACCTATAAACGTTAGAGTTTTTCTCTATTTCGATGCAGTTTTTTGTCCATCTACTTCAGCATATATATATATATATATATATATATATATATATATATATATATATATATATATATATATATATATATATATATATATATATATATATATATATATATATATATATATATATATATATATATATATATGTATATATATATATATATATATATATATATATATATATATATATATATATATATATATATATATATATATATATATATATATATATATATATAATTGGAAAACCAGATATTCATCCATTCACCAGTATTAAAATTGCACGTTGATTGCCGTTGCTACTGATGTTCTGGCAATAAAATTAATGCCAGTAATGCTTTAATTCTTATCGAATTACATCTAGCATTATTAATATTCGGAAGAGCCTTAAAATTAATTTTGAAAAAATCTTTTTTTCTACATAATATCTGTAATGATGCCTTAACTCACACAAAAATTTCTTTTCATCTCGCCAAAATAATGCTGTTTGAAATTTTTAACCAATGCACCATATTTTTGTTTGAGTTTATCAACAAATAAATAATTTAGTATTTGGTGACGATGTTTTGCCTTCAAAAACTTAATCCATGACAAGCTTCAATAACAAATCTAAAATACGATGCTGGCAATCAATATGTTGTGGAACTTTCAAGTTCCTGGCAATAAGCTCTTTTTTTAAATATGCAACAACACCACCATTTGCTATTATTTTATTTTGCTAGTATTTTTGTTTGTTGTGTCAAAATAACCACTTTTATGACTTCCCATATATTAAATTCATTTAAAAAGTTAATCAATGCTTAAACAATTGTTTTGGCATTGCTATCCTCTAAAAGCTGCCAACTTTATTTCCTAATCATTGTTTTTTTCAAACTACAATTTGCATTTCTTTCTGTTTAATTTTCTTGCCATCAAAATATTGTGAGTTTTTTTATAATTTTCTTAAATTCATCCTTGATTTTATCAGTTTCTTTCATAACTGCTTTGTAAGTACCTGCTTGTGTTGGAGCTGCAATTTTAATACCCTCTTTTGGCAATTGATCAATTACTTTTTAGCTCTTGTGTGTAATTAGGTTTATATTTTCTACAAAAGAAACAATTGTAGCAGTTGAATCTTTTCTTAAACTTTTAGATCTACTAAAAATCTGTTGCTAGTAGATAGAGCAAAACTGTCGTCAGCCTTTCTTTTTAACTAGAGTCAGTAAGTCAGTGTTACTAAAGTCTTTCAATATTAATAGAATCCGTAATTTTTATTTAATGAATGGTTCTGAAAACAGTTACTTTATTTGTAATTCATTTAAATGGATAAATTGGAAAAATATTTGAAGTAACGTATCTTACTTTTCCATTCCTTTCAACTTGCACTTTGTAAAACTTTTTATCTTCAGGACTCAGCCATACACCTTTTTTTTTTGTAATATAAAATATTATTTCTTGATAATAGGTGATACTGATTATCTATGCCGTCTAATCTCTGTTGTATTTATTTACTAAATTTTAAATTTTCAACTGATTTTCCTGTTATTGCTGGAAAATTCAGTTTGGTCCAAATTGCTAATTCATAGGCAATATTTTTGCATCTTTCAAAAACAGATTTCTATAAAGAAGCTAAGTAAATGAACCTCACAATAACAACTAGTTCATTTGGAATTAAAATTAGCTTGTCAAGTGGTTTTTCAATTTTATTACTTTCTGATTTTTTTTTTTATCTTTGCTTTCTTATAATAAACCAAATTGCTTTGCCAAGTTTTCTTCAAAAAAGTTTCAAAAGTCAAAAAAGCGCTAGTGTTCACTAGTGTTCGCATTAGCTTAATATTTTATTTGATTAACTTTTAAATTCAAAAACAATAATTTTTTAATAAGAAAAAAATTATTTCTTTGGCCATAGAACCTGCCACATATTTAAGTTTATTTTAATTTATGCTTTTATTGAACAATGTATTGTTGATTTCAATAGATACGGCTTTAATTTCAAATAAAAACTAAACCAAAATGGAGGCCATTCAACTTAATGAGAGAGTATTTAAGCATTATTTTGACCGAATAAAGTTTAAAAAATCATTGATCGAATAAAGTTTAAAAAATCATTGATCTATATCGATACCTCTGGTATCGATATAGATAAATGATTTTTTAATTAACTATAATTAACTGTTTAATTTTTTTATTTATTTTCTATTTTTAGTAATTTTCTTCTATTTATAATATTCTATCGATTATACTCTACAAATTATATTAGGTTTATAAAATACATTTTGGTTAAAAAGTTTTTCTAATCTTTTGTAAAGTTTGTAACTTATTTTAAGTATATCAAATTACACTTTATTTACATAAATTTCTCTTTATAGCTTCCCTTGCCTAGATTAAATCAAATATAAGGTGTGTATTGTATATGACTGCCTTTTTGTATAACTTCTAGAAGAATGTCTAGGTGAAAATAGGATATCTCTAGGACATCTGGATAAGACTTTCATATAACACCTGCCATAGGGCGGCTAAAAAGACGTCTCTAGGACGTCTGCTAAACACATCTCTAGGATGTCTTTGTAAGACGTAATTAGATCGTCTGGAATAGATGTCCTCAATTCTTTTACCTAAGACTAAAAAAAGATGTTTTATAGACAAGAAATGACACGTCTTATAGACGTATTTAGGACGTTAGTTTGCCCGCTGGGGTGGCCTCATAAGCCTTTGATTTTTATAACACTTTATATTATACTTTTAGGCTCTAAGCCTTCTGGTTTTAAAAAGCCTATAAAAATGTATAAAAAAATTAAATTAAACTAAGTTTAAACTGAATTAAACAAAATTGGTTAGATAAAGCTATTATCTTTTTATTCTACTTTAACTTCTCAACATGACCATTAGAAAATGCTTTACTATTTTTTTTTGTTTAACTAACTTAATGAAGTTCTATATTTAAGAACATAGAGAACTCTTTTTTTAGAATACACTAATAATATATTTGACATAAATTAACATTTTTTGCAATAAATCAACTTCAGACATTATTCTTTCACTATTAAAAAACCTGAGAGTTTATTCTTTTTTTTCTTGAGTTAATATTAATAATTATATATTGCATTACATCCTTTGATCATTAAGAAGATGGTTAATCATATACTGCATTTCATAATTTGACTATATGAAAAATTTGGTTTTTGTCATAACTTTTTATTGCAAAAATAATTATGAATTTTTATAAATTAAAAAAGACCAGAAGTAACACTAAATATAAAAGTTAACAACTTTATTATGAGGTAAACATTAGGTATAAATTAAAAACATTATTCTTTATCTTTGAAATTAACTTTAATCAACCTACTAATCATCAGGATTTGAGATTAAAAGTTATGCTACATCTAAAAAAATGTTTCAACTGCCTTGAACTTTATTCAAAACGTAGAAACAAACTTCTATTTTAGGTAAAAATTCATATTGAAACCTGATATAGCAAAAAAATCAAGTTCTCAAGTAAAAGGTTAAGTAAATTTTAGGTAAACACTTGAGTATTTACAAATGTCATGGAGAAATTTATTTCTTTTAATTTAGCCAATATAGTTAAAAAGTCTGTTTCTGCACATCAGAGAACAAGCCACCAAAAATCTAAATTATGAAATGTCAAATTACGTATGATTTGTTATGTAATTTGTTATATAATTTCTTAGAAGTAAAAAAATTTTTTAAGGTGATAGCTGATGAAAGTCCAAGTTTTCTAAAACTTTGTACGAAAATTTTATTAAAAAGATATCTCCCAGAGCTAGATTGTGATATCTCCCAGAGATTGTGAGTTTACTGAAAATAAAACTAAAGAGATCAAGCTCTTAGAGGTATTGGATTTTCCTACGATAAAAAAAAATCTTTGCTTTATAAAGAGAGTACAGCAAATATTAACAGTAGTTCACTGATAATTTTTAGTACAGTACCTTTAATTAAAGAATTAAAAAAGAAAAATTAAGAAGGTATTGGTTAAGTTAATTAGTTTAAGCAGGACTTCTTTTTGTTTTCGTAGCAGGCTTTAAATTAATATTTTTAAAAAATAGCCTGCAGACACCCACTTTAAAAAATTAATGTCCGTATGGCTTCAAATATAATACGAAGATGAAATCACAACGAAGATGAAATGTATATAAAAAAGAAAATGTGTAATGTAAATTGTTTGATGTAAACATTAGATGTGAAGGTATGTGACGCAAACATATGGTAATCTGAAAAAATACTATGCCAGGTTCAATTAAATATTTTGTTTTAAACAAAATTTATATTATATTATTACCTGTTTTATAACTAACATGTTAAGCAGGTATTTTTAGAGGACTTTGGCTGTTTGGAGGAATAAAAAAAAAGACATGCTCAGAGTTCCATGAGCGTATTGAATCATCCACTTTTAATAAACCAGATTATATGCTAGTTATAGGTAAGTCTCCTAGTTAAGAATAAAATTTACACATGGGTTTTTCAGCATTGTTTTCTGCAAGGTAACTTTATTATTAGGCAATAAAAAAATCATGCTATGACTGTTAAAATTAAAACTTACTCCAACAAATTACCATGTGAAAACTTTATAACAATTTTAGAAGTAGTTTAAACTAAAAAACATAAATTAATTAAATTGTGTTTTATTTATAATAAGGTATTTCAAAAAAATGTCAAAACTACTTTAATGTGCAAATGAACTTTTTAAAGCCAATATACTCGGCCTTATATCTTTAGAATAATTAGCCCACTACTTTTGATGCCTTTAGTATGGTCTTTTAAAGTTTTTTTCAACATTTTTATTTGATAATACTAAATACTTTTAACAATTTTTATTTAAAAAAAATTTTAACTTCATTTAGTTCTAATGCATTTAACAAATGCATCCAATGGCGGTGTTTGCAACAAACACCATTAGATTCATTTTTCCAAATTATATAACTACTAGACCTTGTTAAAAAATAAAGTCTAGAAGTTATATAATTTGGAAAAGAGAAAAAACTTTTTGATCCATATACATTTAACACTTGAGTTTCCTTTTGAAGTTAATGTACTTGTAAAGTTTACATTTAAGACTTGAAAAAATTTTGAAAAAGCTATGTCATTCCAATGACTTCACTATTTCTTTATAAACCATTTCACAACATAACACAACCTTAAAAAACAATATCACAGCATAAGCAAATTTTTAAAAATCACATTGCAACAAACTTCATCTTAAGAAGTTATATCACAACAGCCACAGTTTTAAAATCCGCCCCAAAACATAACCATATATTTTTAAGCTATACCATAACACAATTTTGCAACTCATAAATTACATACGCACCTTTATAAACCATCCAAAATAAATCGACACCATTTGACGCATTATTATTTAATGAATCATTGATAAATAATTATTTACAAATATTTGTAAATAATAAGTGAGTTAATCTTTTTTTTAAATAGTTTCGGTAATCTTCAGGTCTCAAACTAATTGAGTTTAAACTGTTGGTGAACGTTTGTTCATAAAATAAAATTTTATAATAAAAATTAATCGTTAAAATAATTTTCATTTTTAAACCTTAATTTATATTTTAAAAAATGGTTACTCGCATTTAAATTTAAGAAAGAAAAATAAGATTAAAACTCTTACTAGTATTTGCATTTCTCACAACTAAGTTTCTTATGTATCCTGGTTGTGCAGGATACCAGGGATCGCTTGTATATACTCTCACGTATTCAAAAGGTTGTGCATTGGTATTTTGTAATGAAATGATAACTGCTCCATTCATTTTGATAACATAATTGTAGACTCCATTCAAAAAAAATTGACTAATAAAAAACTTATTCCACTCCATCAAATTACATGGTGAAGAAAGCACTGTGTAATAATTATTCATTCCACTGATTGATAAACCAATTAGGGCATCGCTGTTTGAAAAAAACAAACTGAAAGTTCTGTCACCGTATTTACTTTGATTATCATCTATTGTAAAATGAATTGCGTTAGACCATGTATTTAAAAAAGAAGTTAAAAAACATTCAAAAGATATTTCATATTCATTTGGTAAAGCTTCAAATACAGCTATAAGGTTGTTTTGTTCAATTGCAACTACATCGTTTATTTCAAACATTTCTAAATGAAATTTAAAATTAAAGTTGAGTTTTCTATGCTTGAGATAAAAATTGTTACTATTTTAAGAAATAAAGCATGTCATAAAATGAAATACAAACTTTTATATAAGCTATATGTGCATAATTACGACATCGAGACTTTTAAAGTAATACGTTTAAATAAATGAAAAGATTAAGAAAAGAAGGTTTTATGTCATAAATAGACAGCTAATTATTAAAAGAAGGAAAATAAAAGATTCTTGAGGTTGGAAAAATGTGTTCTTTCTTTATATCTTTTTTTGTGAAATATAACACAACATTTTGCAGAATTGTTTAACAAAGAGTTTATATAAAATTCAAATTACAAACGACGATAATAGATCATACAACAACGATACCTAATAAAAGATCATAATGATCTTATCACTGAAAACATTAATCAAAAAGCAGAACATTAAGATACAAAAATAGATAAAATTAGTCATATAAATTGATTTGAAATTATAAATTTCAACTTGAATTTATATTGAATTTATAATAACACTATTAAGTGTCAACTAAAAATGCACTATATAGTTTTGTATTTGTAACTTGTACCCGATAAATCAATGGAATTAGAAGCGATGAAGCTTAAAAACGTTTAGTCCTGTTTGTGCAAACTTTAAAAATAAATATCTAGTTCTGCTTATCAACTTGTACGATTTTAATTTAAAAGTGTGAAACAACTTTTCTCCAGTTGTTGTTTGACAATCCATACCAACAATCCGTACCATTGAGCGGCCGTGGCACAGTGGTTATAGCGCTTGTTTTATAAGCAAGAGATCCAGGTTTGAAACGAGCTATGGACATATTTTCGCGTAACGATAAGGAAAGAGGCGTGAACTTCTTAGATATATATACTTCTGCGGTGCTCTGTGACAAGATTGTTAGGTCTTCTCGGCACTTAAATAACAAAAAAAAAAAGAAAAATTGTATATCTAAAAGTTATTTTAGATGTTGAAGGTTTCTTTTTTAAATGTTATTTTTATTATTTTGTTTTTTTTGTTTTAAGATTTTGCAAAATGTCATTTACCCTCTTACTTTTTAAATATTGTTAGTCAGTTTTCTTACCTTTTAAAATAAATACCTCTCTTATAAATAAAAGAGCTATACTTTTAAAAGATATTAAAAACCAAATATCAATAACTGTATTAGATTTTGTAGCATCCATTAGAATTTGGTTAAAATATAATAAAGTCAATATATAATAAATAATATAAAACAATAAATAATAAATATTTCAGGATTCTACGTTTTTCTTCTTCTTCTTCTTCTTATTTTTTTTTTAATTTTTAGTTTAGGTGTACAAAGAAGCTCTTTAATGCTCATCCGCAGTGCTCTCACAGAGCAACGCGGATGAGCATTAAAGAGCTTCATAGTTTACTAAACTACACTGTTTTGAAAAGCGGTTTAAACCATGGATCTTTTGTTTGTTAAATCCTTGTTTTAATAAGATTCTTTTTGGAGAATTTTAAAGTAAAGGATTTGAAAGACCATAAAAGAAAAGGCATATTAAATAGTTTTTATATAAAAAAAAGAAAATTCTACGACTAATCGTATTTGTTTTTGGTAAAATGATATATTAAAAAATAGCACTGATTTTTAGTTAAATGATAAACTATAAATGAGTATTGATGAAGGAACAAGCAATATTTCCTTGAAACAAAAATTTCAAGAATTCTCCAATGGGCGCACGATTTATAGCACTAAACTAATTTTAAATTACTAAAACTAGTATATATATACATAAATTATTATACTAATATCAATCAAAAAGGTTTCACTCACTCTCACACACATGTTTTTGTATGAAAGTAATTAAAAGACATTATACTTAAAGAAAAATAGTAAAGATAAATAACATAAAAAGACAAAATAAAAGCGAAGTTAATTAGTGAAGTACTAAAAATAACAAATATTACTGTATTACTAAAAAAAATAAAAAAAACAGTACTAGTTTTTTTGTTTTATAAAATAAAGTTTACATATATTTATACAATAATATTTACAATAATATTTACATAATTATACAATAATATTTACATGCTTTTTAACATTCAAAAAATTAAGCTAATTGTATATTATAATCAAAACTTTTTAAACTTCTTTTAAATGATCATTCAATGAGAGCAAAACCCAAAATAAATTTTAGTGAAGAACGTTATTATCTGGCTGTTGTTAACACCACTGGTGTCAGAGTTAATATTAATGTTAACTAATTATTAGTATTACCATCTAAATAAATTGTAATAGATACATTACTTATATTGTTTATTGTTGTTGTTAACCAAAACTATATACAAATTAACTTTTATAATAAACATACACAAAAAAAAAAAAAAAAAAAAAAAAAAAAACTTTTACTTCCTCCTTTCATTTGATCTTTAGTATTATATTATTTTTTTCTAAATATTTTAAAAAATTATTAAAATGACGATATTACATACAACACTACCTCAAAACAGACTTCAAAAAACGTGGCGCAGAGTTTTAGAAAAAAATTTGGTTTATTAAAACGCTATTTTCGCATATCTTTTAATTAACATATCAGTAAAACAAAACGCTTTTAATATGTACGGCCCTTCCAATCAATAACACCTCAATTATAATAACAAATTTTCTTAGATGTTGAATATGATTCATTATAAGGTTTTGCACTAGTAAATAAATTAAAGAAACCCTACATAAAGAATGATTGGTCAAATTATCTTAAAGTTAAAACCGAATAGTAAATAGCCTTTAACAGATATCTTAAAATCTATTATTTTGGACTTGGGGTGTTCTTGATTAAGGGGCAGTATAAATAAAGATAGAAAAAACTTTGAGGAACATAACGCTTATGACATATTTTTTTCTAACTTAACGGTAAATATAAGGCTAAATTTTTCACGTTATGTATAGGTTATGTTATAATTTTTACTGTCATTCCTCTAATCTTTTTTTAGCACAGACCAAAAATATATTATTGTCATTGAAAAGAAATTATCCACAGCAACAAAATAAAGATATTGCTTTTATAAAGATGGTAAAGCTTATTTTAAAATACACACCCAATATATATTTTACATAAAGCAAATAAATATTAAGCACTAATAATAGGTTATCGCAATATAAAATTAGGTATTATATCTGCCAAATAGGTCTGCTAAATGGGTACAGATAGCAATAAGAAATCAATAGAAACTCGATTTAAACTTGCAGTGCAGCAAAAAATTATTTTGTTCGAGGAAATCTTTTTTATTACTATGTTATTTTCAAAGTAGTAATGAGTATTGTTGCTCTCTCTTATCTTTGAATACTCCTAACTAAAATAGATATATTTGATTTCTTGAAAGTACAGATGTATTTGAATATCGCACAAAGTTGATCTCTCTAAAAATGCATACATGAAATTTAATTATAATATTTTTCTTTGCTTTAGCAATAAGTCAGCTCTGATTTATTTTATTATTATTTTTTAAGTGAAGAATTTTATTGAAAACTTGTAAAATAAAAAAAATTTAATATGGTAAAATAACCGTTTTATTTCACACTTTACTGTCCACAGTTGCCATTTGGCAACCACGAACTTTTAGTAAGAAATGCTAAAAGAAAAAACGGATTTTCTCCATTTTTTGAAGCCTCGTATTATGTTCGGTCATAGCTGTTTTGAAAAATAGTATTTACTCGATCACAATACTGTTTAATATGCTTAAAATAAGCTCTTGAATTGAGTGACACATTTGCTATAAAAAAGTAGGGTCCTTATTAAAATTAATATTTAGTACATTAAATGTACTAAATATTAATCTTAATAAGGTCACCTAATTTGTCACTCAATTCAAGAGCTTATTTTAAGCATATTAAACAGTATTGTGATCAAGTAAATACTATTTTTTAAACTAAATTTTAGTTTACTGATGTAGTTTTTATAATTTTAGTTAACAGAGTGGTATATATATAGTTATTTTTAGAATATATTTTGGGCATTTTTTTTGTTTCAAGGCTATAAAATTAACTGAAAACATAGAGGTTGCCATTTGGCATATTTGTACAAATTCGGGAAGTTTTTGCTGTTTTAGTCTTTTTGGATTTTTTTCCTTATGTTTATTTATTTTTTAGTAAACTTGGTTATACAGCTATTAACTGTTTAAAAGTACGATCTGAAACTAGTCATTCAATAGATGAACAAATAATTCCAGCCAAAACTAAGTTTAGCGGAATCAGACAATATAATCCCAAGCAGGCAGTGAAATGGCGATTCAAACGTTTTGTACGTGCTGGGTCAAGTGGGATATTATATAATTTTTTTATGTATACAGGTGCACAGGAAAATCAATTCTGCAATGGAGATTATGTTGTGAAAAAACTTTTTAAAACTTTACCAGAAAAAAATTTTTTTTTAATTATTTTTTGAAAATTGATTTGCCTCTTATCACTTATGCATTGATCTGTCTCAGATTAGAATTTTGGCTACATGTACAATAAGAGCAGACAGAATCAAAAGTTGTGAATTTTCATCAGAAAAAGACCTGAAGAAAAAAGGAAGAGGGAGTAGCTGTTTTAAAGTAAATGGACATTCTGGAGTAACTGTCTGAAATAGTATAAAAACAAATGTATCCATCTTGTATCAAACTATATTGATCCTACCAAAGATTCTAACATTGGCAGATGAGATCGCAAAATTAGAAAATACATTTATGCTTCATATCCAGATATGATAAAGGAGTACAATGCATCAATGGGTGGGGTAAACCTATCAGATATGCTCATTTCCTTCTATCGAACATCAATAAAAACTACGCAATGGTACATCGATTTTTTTTTTCATTGCTTAGACATTGCTAAAGTAAATGGATGGCTGCTTTACAGAAGATATCAAGATCAGCAATTAATATCATGACGTCATCAACTTAACTTATTTTAGTTTGCAACATTCATATCAGCAGTATTAAGAAATAGGGGTAAAATTGTCAAAAACAGTGTAGGTTGTCCAAAAATAGTAAGAGCTCCTAAATGTAAAACTCCAATTCCTCTACTTGGTTATGATGAAAAATTTTATTGTTTTTCGTACTGGCCTAAATTCCGTGAAAAGAAAAATCAATGTCGCATCTGCAAAATTGGTTACAGTAGAGTGTATTGTGTTAAACGTGGTCTTTGTCTTTGTTTGAATAACAAAAAAAAATCTGTTTTCGTGAGTTTCATAACAAATAAAGGGAACAAAAAACCCAATAACCATACATCTGACTATTGATTGGGTAACATATAGCTTATGTGGATTACTGCACATATAAATTTCTACTTAAATGTGTATTTACTACTAAAATATATCAAATTAGCTGCTTTTTGCTCTACTTAATAGTTCTTTCAAAATTTCCCTTACTGTCTATATATGCCAAATGGCAAATAAATTTATTTTTGATTGCTGACATCTTTTTTTTCTTTTTTGAAATTATTTTAAAACACTTATATTAAATCGTTTTCGCAAAAAAAAAATTATGGCAAATTTATTTCAGTGTTCAGCAAAGGGTTAAATTTTAAATAAATTAATTTAAAATAAAAAAGAAAATTCTTATGCTTTATGTAAATTTTACAATATTATCCATTTTTTAACTATAAAATTGTAAATAATTGAAAAAATTACAATCACTTATAAATTTACAACATTAGGATTGATGTAACTTGTATAATTTAATCTTGTCATTAGAGTGACACCTTAATAAAACAAACAAATAAAAGAAAAACACAAACAAAAAAGTAGTAATATAGATAGTAATATAGAAAAGAAAAAGAAAATAGTATTTATAAAAGCAAGACTAATAAGATAAAAATGGTAACGAGAGATTAAGCTGACATTAGAGATAATGAATGTTTATATATATTAAACCATTAATTGTTTAATTTTTGAATTTTATTAGAAATAGGATATTGTTGCGAGGCCTAGAACGTTTCTGATTTTAACATTTAATTTCTATTAGGTCTCCTAGGAAATAGAGTGAGGCTTCAGAAAACTAACACTTTCCATTTGCATTTCCATTTTTATTCCAAAATTTTTTCTTTTTTTAAATACTGTGACGTTTTTTTCTGCTCTTCTTGATTAGATCCACATATAATTACGTCATCTAGATTAGGGTAATTTTTTTAGTTTCAATTTTAGACAAAATTACCCATGGTTCGGTGAAAGAAAGTTATTGCATTTTTGCATTCAAATGAAAGTTTTTTAACTTCATATAATTCTCCATTAGCTTCAAAATTAAATACAATCTCTTCAAAATTTAATAAAATAATAAAACTTGAAAACAAAGTTTTAAATTAAGCAAAAAAAAAAAAAAATGAAAAAATGAAATTTTTTAATTTAAAGTTTTACTTTTAAAAGCAATCGAACTTAAAAATTGCTCTTAAAACTTTCATTTAACAATAAAGAAATTAAAATTTTAAAATTATAATTTTGAATAAAGGTAATATTTTTGTACAAAGGATTGGTAGCTGTTTTTCCTCTATTATTTGTTTATGTTGTTAGTAAAAACTTGTACAACGTTATCTTTTAAAGCAGACTCAAAAATGGGCTTCATATGGATTATGTTAATTTTGTATAAACATTTGTAAAAATTTGTTAAAAGTTCATTAAAACACACTACTTAGCTTTAAGGAAATACAGATTTTACGCTTCTTTTTTTTATATCAACATCCACCAAATACCTTGCAGACTTAGGCCAATTTATGCACTTTTCAATAAGTATTTGTTGTCCTGCGTGTACTTAGTGTCAAAATGACCCTATTTTTCTATTAAATCAACTGTATCTAATATTAAATCAAGCTTAACGGTTTTTAATAATTTTTTATCATTAAAGCTTAAGTTTTGAATCTTTTTTCTCGGTTTAATTGACGAGTTGACAAGTAATGTCAAGTTGACAACTATTTCATTACCAAATTTTTATTGTTTTGACGTCAATGATTTTAAGTACTTAAACATTATTAATATCAGACACAGTAGCTAGTTTGTCACAAAACTTTTTTTTAGCGCGAATAAAATTTATTTATCCTAGAATTGCAAAAAAGTTTGTAAACCATTTATTGTAAAGATCACATTTATTGGTTGTTTCATTTTCACTTTTAATAATTATTTTTTAGTTAAAAAAAATGAATAACATAATAAAATGATAACTAAATATCAAATTTTAACTGAAACAAACAATAGTTTTTGACATTACTCTTTTTAATTTTGAGATATATACTTAATGTTTGTTGTAAATCATATAACGTGTAACTCATGATAATTTTTAACCGAATATCTGGTTAGTGACGTCATACTGATCAACTTAAGTATCCTTTTAACTATTATAGTTGTTAATACTACTACTACTACTACTACTACTACTACTACTACTACTACTACTACTACTACTACTACTACTACTACTACTACTACTACTACTACTACTACTACTACTACTACTACTACTACTACTACTACTACTACTACTACTACTACTACTACTACCACTACTACTACTACTAATATTATTATTAATAATAATAATAATAACAATAATAATAGCAATAATAGTAGTTGTAGTAATAGTAGTTGTAATAGTAGTATTACTACTACTATTACTACAACTACTATTACAACTACCATTACTACAACTACTATTATTGCTATTATTATTGTTATTATTATTATTATTAATAATAATATTAGTAGTAGTAGTAGTGGTAGTAGTAGTAGTAGTAGTAGTAGTAGTAGTAGTAGTAGTAGTAGTAGTAGTAGTAGTAGTAGTAGTAGTAGTAGTAGTAGTAGTAGTAGTAGTAGTAGTAGTAGTAGTAGTAGTAGTAGTAGTAGTTGTAGTAGTAGTAGTAGTAGTAGTAGTAGTAGTAGTAGTAGTAGTAGTAGTAGTAGTAGTAGTAGTAGTAGTAGTAGTTGTAGTAGTAGTAGTAGTAGTAGTAGTAGTAGTAGTAGTAGTAGTAGTAGTAGTAGTAGTAGTAGTAGTAGTAGTAGTAGTAGTAGTAGTAGTAGTAGTAGTAGTAGCAGTAGTAGTAGTAGTAACTTAAATTTTTAACTTAGTATAGTTTAAAAGTTTAAAATTTATTAATGTATAATTACTAAACATCAATCTAAATTCAAAAGAATTACTTACTAATATTTGCATAGTTTAATAAGTGCACGAATATCAAAATATATGTTTTGTTTTTAATCATTTTTAACCTAATTTTAAAAAAAGTTTTTAAATTCTATTTATTTAAAACATAAATATTTTTATGTGACTAATTCTAGAAAGCAACATCAAATTATAATGAAAAGTAAATATACATGCAATTAGCATAAAATTTGTAGCAACTTGCAGCAAGAAACATATAGTAAATTGTGTAAATTTTTATTTTAGTATTTTATTTTTTGTTTATCAGTTTTATTCCTTTGAATTATTTATTTTAAATACTATACTAAATATTTTATTACATATATTGAAGTGATAGTCTAAGTGTATTAGTAAATTTTTAATTTTAGTATGCTTTTTTGTCATCTAACAGTTTTATAAATTTGAATAATTTATTTTTGAATATTATATTAAATATTTTATTTTATGTCTTAATGTTGTTGTCTGATTTTACATGATTTAAAAAATTAAAGAAAACTAGGACGGTGAAAAGTAAATGGCGCGGAATCCTAAACAAACATTTTATTCAAAACGGTTTTAAAGATTTTACAAAACCTAGATATCTTAAGTTGTTCAAACTGCTTATTGGCCAAAGCTTCTTGAGCGACAATTTGGGTTCGGGCTTCAAAGTAACAGGTATTTTTCCTTTGTATCGGGAAAAAATGACTAATGAAAAGTTAGCTATTGGATTGATTTTTGCGCAAAGTACTCAAGCATTACTAACACTCCCTATACCAACACTGCTTATACCACCGCAATTCCAGATATTCCTTCAAGTATACAAAAGCATAGAAATTCAAGTACACAAACTTCTTCGAGCTCATTGAAGGGACTTCCATATATCAACAACGTAAATCTGATGGTTCTTTGAATTCAAAAAAATGTCAAGCTTGTGAAATTTTTTTTGGAGATAAAACTGCAGCTCAAAATTAAATAAAGATGCGTTGCAAATCCTGTGACAATCGGATCTTGGGTGGATCTTGTCGTTCTAATTTAAGGAACGATATGTGCAAAAATTGCTAATAAACTAGTATTTTTTTATAGAAAAAAAATTTCTTTTTAACTTTATTGAAAAATATCTTTTTAATTTTATTAACCAGCGGCGTAGCGAACGTAGCACGTAGAAACCCCCAAGAAGTCCCAATGGACTTTTCTGTGATAAGACCATATAGACTTCTTAGGGCACTTGAACAACAAAAAAATGGGAATAAAACCCAAAGTAATAAAATGGTTGACTTATTATAATAACAATAAAAAATAATACTATTTATACTTAAAAAGGCTTTTTTTTATCTGTTCTATGTTGTTTTCTTGGGCAACCAAGAAGAGTTTTTTTTAAGTCCGGGACGACGCCCTTCTTGGTTACTTGTATTACTTGATATTATATTATCACTAAACAATAAAACAACAATTAAATTTTTTTTTATTATTCATGATGTGATGCGTTATTAGGATTCATATAGCGACCGAACTTATAATATAATATTAAGGGGTATGAGATAATATTGAAGGTTTGGTCAAAGTAGATGTTCTCATTTGAAATTAAATATTGAGTACTAGTTTTTATTTTTTATTTTTTTATTTTAACAATATCGATTATTAATATAATTTTTAATTTATGTCTGATAAAATAATGTTTAAAGCTTAAGTGACCGAACTTAGGATATTTTACGATATATTAGAACTGTTTAGAACTTTAGAATATTTTAGAAAAAACCAGAATATTTTAGAAGACTTTATAACATTCTAGAACAATTTAAAATATTTTGAAACATTCTAGAATAATTTAAAGCATTCTGAAATATTCTAGAACATTTAAGACTATATATAACAGCTCATTTAATTTTATAGTTAATACAGAAGCAACACATGGTGTTATACAAGGCTAGCGATATTAGCACTCAGAAGAACAAGAATGTTGTAAAACTTGAAGACTAAGAAAGAGAAAAAGAAAAAGAATGGTTCCTTTGGAAGAATATTCACTGGAAGAAAGTGCAAAACGCTTCTCCGAAAGCAAAATTCGGACGCTAACATTTCCTTGGACCAAAAGTCAAAGGAAGTAAGTAGCGAATAGCGGAAAATTCCAGAGAAGTCACCAAATAGTGGAAGAATACCAGAATTTAACTCATGTATCTGATCAAGTTATACGAGCAAAGCCTAATAAAATACTTAAATGTTATGTGTCAAGCAGGGAAGCTACAACCCCCTTGATAAAATTTTTGATATTACTAAAGTGGATGGAACATGATTATCTTCCAAGGACAAGCGCTTGTACCATCTCTAAGTAAAAAGCAAAGGAACAGTGCGATATTCTACAGGCCATGCAGCCAGTAAAACAACGATCAATCCCTCTAAAAGACAAAAACTTTCTAATCAGTCATACAAGTCATCATCTTACTATCCTGGTTTTAGTGATTCTAACTCTGAGGATGACGACAGTAGATATGAAAACAATGATGCAGAAAATGAGAAAGCTCTTACACCAAGCAGAAAACATCATAAAATAAAAATCCAGTCAACTTGGTGACCTTCACAAGAGTATCAACAATCAAAGCTGCTAACATCTCAACTCTATGTCTACTTGCTACTTACAAGTCAACCATCAAAGAAGGCAATCAAGCTGAATGATTGAAATGTTGCATATGGAAAAGTTGTCTTTACATTTTAATATATATATATATATATATATATATATATATATATATATATATATATATATATATATATATATATATATATATATATATATATATATATATATATATATATATATCGCTTCCTAATAAACCTACTAAAGGTAAAACATACTGTTGGAAAGCACTATAAATTAGATAAGAGTTTTTATTTAATTATATATATAACTAAATATGTTATTTGTATATACATATATTGTTTATAAAATGTAAAAAATCCACTTATATAACGTTTTAATCAGAATTGTATGTAATATAAACTTTTCTAATAGTTACAAATCTTTTTTACTCAAGCTGTTATGTTTTGATTTTTTTGTAGGTATGTTATTATATTTTAAAAAGTTGAAAAGATTGAAAAAGTACAAAACATAAGATTTCTATTCTCCTTTATATTCCGTACGAGAGCGCAGCGCAGCGAGAGCGCACAGCGCAGCGCTAAACCAATTTAAATTGAAGTTTTCACTGCGTTCATTACGGAAAAAAGTTTGGAAACCCTAGCAAAAGATATTGTCTCATCCAAGTAAAAAATTTACAACATTAATTTTAGATTTGCCCCTCTCTTGATAATTTCTGATAGCTAAAACTACGTCATCTGATTCTGAGACCACTAAAATTATATTCGAGGCTTTTTCGTAAACCGTTAAAGCTACAATTTTTTGCATATGTGACGTCATTTTGCGCCAAAATACTAAAAAAACAAACTAGAAAAAAGATTTTATTTAAATTTTTTTAAATAAATTTTTCTACTAAAGATATATTAAATATATTTTTATGGGATGCATTATAAGACAAAAATTTTTTATTCATTACTATTGTAATAAATACAATCTCTTATCCGTGAAATGATATATCGGTATCAGTTTTATATACTTTTATGCATTTGAATAAAGCAAAATTAAAATTACAGGGTTTCTCACCTCATTTCGACAATGTATCACTACATTTCGACACTTTTGCATTCAATTTCGACATTGTATCACTACATTTCGACACTTTTGCATTCCATTTCGACACTGTTGCATCGCATTTCGACAATTTAAAAACACTCTATTTTGAATTAAATTATTTATCATTATGATGAAAATTTTTGTTAAATAATAATGGGTTGAATTTAATCGGGACAATAAAATAATTAATGTGGCTATTTTTTTAATTCTGCATTATTTAAAGTGGGTACTGACATCATGAATATGGTTTCAATATTTTTTTGGATATACGTAAAATATATAGGTAAAATAAACAATGTGGATATTAATTATTTCAAGTTACCATATTTGTTGTTTTTAATTGCCATACTCATTATTTTTATTGCCGGATAAATTGTCCAATTGCCAAAAAAAACTTATACGCTTTGGAAAATATCCCAACAATACATAATTAAATTGTCATCAAACTATAAATTAATGTTATAATTTTTTATTAAGTAAATAAAAGCATTTATCTCTTCAATACAACAAGAGTTCACAATAAAAGCTTAAATATCATTTTCAATATTTATAAACAGCAATTCCGAATCAAACAATCAACAATGAAAACCGTTCAAGGATAATTGAATCTTACTTAAATGGAAACTCACCATCAGAAATTGCTAATATTCTTGGATTTAAACGAACTACCATCTATTCGATTATTAAAAAATATAAAAATGGTTTGCCGATAGAACGGCAATTAAAAGGTGGCTCTAGAAACAAAAAATTACCGGAAGAATCCAAGGTACTAATCAAAAATTGGATTGATGATGATTGTGGAATAACTCTTAAGGAAATTAAAGAAAGACTTTTTGAACAAAAATCCATTTCAGTCAGTCAATCTACTATAGCAAGATGCATTGATAGTTTTAGTTATACTTTGAAACGTGTTCACAATATTCCAGAGAGAAGAAATTAATGACGTTATTAATGAAAGAGCTTCTTATGCAGTAAGATTCATGAACATTTTGTCTTCTATGAATGACAATAAAATATTCTATATTGATAAAGTAGGATTTAGTCTTTCAATGCAAGTTAGAAGAGGACGTTCTTTAGCTGGAAAGAGGGCCACACAAACAGTAACCAATATACGGTCAAGAAATATTTCCGCCTGTTGTGCAATGAACAAAAACCAAATTTTGAAATATGAAGCACAAACAAAAGCATTTAATACAGAAAGCTTTTTAGATTTTATTCGTTTAGTATTAGCACAATTAGCTGTTAATGAAGTTGTTGGAGCTATCTTAATTTTAGACAATGTTCGTTTTCATAAAACTGCTGTTGTTCATAATGAAACAGTACGTGCTGGGCATTCTTTGATACTTTTACCTCCATATTCCCCCTTTTTAAACCATATTGAAAATATGTTTTCTGAATGGAAACAGTTTATCAGAAGA